GGGGGGGGGGGGGGGGGGGGTAAAATCGATCGACACTTCTTTCCCGATATGCCTGGTGATATAGTAATGGCAACATACCCGGATTTAGTTCATCGTCTTCCCACGTTTCTAGAGACGCACGCGTCTCTCGCATTAAACCACCCGAACGATTGTACCTGTCCCGATGTATCGAAAGTAACATAGCATGTGGGGGGAAGCTGTGTTCAATTTGAAAATAAACAACACGGCCCAGATTGTAGGACAAAAATTCAATGATTCGGTCGATGAGTACGAAAGAGAATGAAATAGTTTATCCTGAGAAGTTGAGAGTTGAACGAGGCTTGTTTCTATGCAATGGGAAAATTATTGGAAATCGAGGAAAGTTTCGCGGATAAAATGTTGCCGAGCATTAACTATTAGCATACAAAGTTTTTTACCTCCGTGGGAAACTATTTTAGATTGAATTCCGCTCATTATAAACACATTCATGAATTCATGTACAATTTCAGAGATGCGACGTAATGCAAGTGTTATTCAAATTCCAAATTCCAAGAGTCACGAGTGACACTCAGAGATAATTAAAGATTCCATGTAAATATCCAACACTTCCCCCAAGGGACTTCCTCGACGCTTCACTAAAAAAAAACACTTCACGTTCCAACTGGATAAAAGAAACCCAAAAACACATTAATTCACCCATACCAGCGAGAATAACAAAAAACAGGAACTCGACCTCGAAATCATTCTGAACCTCGCCCCCAAGTGTGGGTGGTTAATGTCCCTTGTGTAGGTGTTTCTGGTGAAAATTTGAAAAAAAAAGAAAGGCGAACGAGACAGCGTGCTAGAGTATGCCGTGACGTAACGAGATAGAACTCGGGACCTCAAAGTCAACACGATCCACATGTCAATTGGCTTGCAGAGCAAATAAAGAAAGTAGCTGGAAGAAAAAACCTGAAAACCATAACGACGCCAGTGAGGAGGCACTGCTGGACGGAGACGAGTACTTCAAGCATAGAATTCAGTTGTTCCTTGACTGAGCCAACGCTGAGGAATGAGGAAGGAGGGGACAGGGACACACAAGTGTCCATGAAGGAAAGAGTGAAAAAATTACCCAGAAAAATGAGAGGAAAAAGAATTAGCAAAGAAACATTCCTTCCTCCAACAACTGTGAGTACAAAAATGACACGTACACAAACCCGGACGTCCTTTAGCCGTTGTTATGCCGGCGTATAACCAAAGGGCCATTGTTACCAACTCGAGGACTTTGTAGTAATTTTAATAACAACTGCACGACGAGTAATAACATTCAGCATTATGTTACTCATCCACGAGAGAACCACAACAACCGACTCTGACTGATTTCGTCATGAAATTCACCTCTTCTTTACTCTCAAGTAGTAAGATAACTGCTCGACACGTGTGCACACGTTAATACCCAGCAATTTCACTTCCTCATCCCACCCCTCCCCCACCACCTAATGCATCAGTGGAAGCTTTTAAGAACGCCGCGGAAATACGAGACTTATTTATATACCCCGTGTTGTCTCTTTATCTCTGTCTCTCACTCCATTTTCCTTCTTTTCTCTTTCAGTCATAAATGAATGAAAAAAAATGTAAAAAAAATGTGAGAAATAAGGAACACGTGTTTGGTTAGAGTGAAACATAAATGAACGCAACTGAGGGAGGGAGAGAGAGTGGCACAAGTAAGCGGGAAGAAACCAATTTTTCATTCTCCAAACTACATTGGAGGAAAACAGAAAACATTCTTAGGATATACATGGGGGTTTCGTACCTGCTTCTGAAATTGCCATTCGATATCAACAGGTTGTTGATTTTTCCCACCATCGAATTGCCCCGCGATTTAACCCCCCTTCGCACCATTCTACTTGAGGTTAAATAAAATAGAAAACTCTGGTATTACGTACAATCAATATAAACATCTGTGTTAAACGTGCTGTAAAAAAGGAAAAAACTTCTGGCGAGCCAATGGTGATCCGTTATTGGTGTTTGCGTTTGTCCAGTGGAGGGAAACAAGGGGGAAAAATCTCGATGGTAAACACAGACAATGTCGATCCAATTGGGGTTACGCAACGCGTTCTCTTTAACAGACGACATTGGTAATATTATTAACAGCCCTCACAAATGGCTTACGTAGTTGTTCAACTATTCTCAGACATGTCACTGTCTCCTGTATCCCATGTAAATATTAATTCCACTTAATTTTCATGTCGTGTAACCGAAACGTTAGGTTGAGTTCTGGAGGTCGTTTTTAATGGAATAAAAATGATTAAAATTGGTTGTATGTGGTAGCGGGTAAAATTTGTATTTTTTATGCTGAAATTCGGAATGAATGATGAATAGAATATTTGGTGGGTTTGGTGGATAGTTCCGAGAAGAATCTTCGTGTTTTTTGCTCGATTACGAAATTTTTTCTAATGATCTCGGAGCAATTGAAAGTTTTGAAAGAATGTAACGCTCCGTTAAGCGAAAATTTGAAAGAATTCATGTTGGAAGGTTCTTTCAGTTCGTATAGGTTTGGGACGATTCTTCTCATTTCTTTTAAATGGGATGGTGAATTTTTTTAATTCATCACGTTTTGAAGAATTTCAGGCTGGATTTTACGCTGCACAGTGATAAGTGACATTTTCAGAGAACTTTCGGGAAATCTCGTAAATGAGAAATCATAATTGAATGAGAAAATGAAAGCACATTGCGTTTCAGTTGAATTAATCCGTAAATATGAGGCGAATTTGGGTGAATCGATTTAAAATTTAGGTAAGTTGTGAAATTTTTGTCCTTTTTCTACTGAAAACTATTTGAATTCACCCGATTTTTTAACTCAAACTTGAAATTTTATGACTTTTTTCTCCCTAAACC